ATGGCATCTTCCTTCCTTGCTATTAATTAAAGATTGAACTAATCATAAATCAGTAACGTCCATTCTCTTAGCACGCCATTTTTTCCTTCTCTCTATTTCCGCTACACCTACATCATGGGTTTATGCCAGTTGCTCTTTTTATCATTCACAATCTTTTATCTGATGTATTACTTCAGTACATCTCCTCTTGTTATTTTCTATTAATAATGAAGTTTGATACTTTACATACAGGGGTGTGCCTATCAAAACCACTTTACACTTGAACATACTAATATTTAAAAATACTACTAAAGAAAGTTGTATTAGCATAATTGTTTCATCAAAAGTTATCATTATAGTTTTATCAAAAAATGATAGATTTATGATGCTAAATTTCGTTTTCTACAAAGTAATATATATACATATATATAGTATTAAGCAACATTACACATTTCATTTACCAAGAAGTTTCCGAATTATTTGTGTTGAACATGATCCCAGACCTCTTGTATTAAGTATTGTTCCAAATTATTTGTATTAAACATTATCTCAAATTTCTTATACTGTGCAGTGTACCAGATTGTTTGTGTTAAACATGATCCCAGACCTCTTGTATTAAGTATTGTTCCAAATTATTTGTATTAAACATTATCTCAAATTTCTTATACTGTGCAGTGTACCAGATTGTTTGTGTTAAACATGATTCCAGACCTCTTGTATTGAGTATTGTTCCAAATTATTTGTATTAAACATTATCTCAGACCTCTTGTATTAAGCAGTATGCCAGGTCCACATACTGAATCATATTGAATAATTGTATGTTTTTGCCTATTAGTACATCAATGCAAAGAAGTGATCAAAAACATTGGGTTAAAACTCTCATTTGCTACGTATAATGAGCCCACAATTGGGTGCATAAATAGTTCAAGAAAAATGTCTTACATGCCGATAAGGTCCATCAGTAATCATAGGGTTAGGAATAAAGTATTAATGCAATAAATATTAAAAACAAAGATTTGGGAGTTCTCAGTAGTAATGAGAAAATTAAGTCCTACATTTGTGTTACTGAGAATTATAATTCTGTCAAAAGAAAAAAAAAACATGATTCTGATGTCTCTTTGATTACACTCAAAGAAGTTTTTAACCGAGAATCTAAATCTTGCAGATGATTTCTAAGTTTAAACAAATAAATCTAAATATGAGTAAAAATTGACCATTAATGACTAGTTACTGTTAGTTTTGTATTGATCCTAGGTTTGTTTCTTTGAGAAATGTCCCAAGGCCTCAGGTATTTTACACTGAGTAGGATTTCAGATTTCTTGTTTTATCAGTGTCTTATATTATTGATCCAATATTTCATGAATTGAGCAGTGCCCTAAATTATTTCTATTGAGCTAATCTCAGATTGTTTGAACTGAGCATGATTCCAGATTTATTATACTTTGTTACTAATATCTATGAAATTGTCTCTGATTGATTGTATTGAGCTAATCTCAGGTTGTCTGAACTGAACATGATTCCAGATTTATTATATTTTGTTACTAATATCTATGAAAATTGTCTCTGATTGATTGTATTGAGCTAATCTCAGGTTGTCTGAACTGAGCATGATTCCAGATTTATTATATTTTGTTACTAATATCTATGAAAATTGTCTCTGATTGATTGTATTGAGCTAATCTCAGATTGTTTATATGAATACCATCTCTAACATTCGAACTTAGCATTGTTCCAGGCTACTAGTGTATTATTTTTTCCGCCTTGTATACTTATAAACAGTGATCCAGCTTGTTTGTCAGAGAAGTGCTTTAAGTTGTTTGTGTTTAGCAACGTCCCGGTTTGTCTGTTAAAGCAGTAGCCTAATTGCTTATGTTCAGCAGCTTGCCGATTTGTTTGTTAGAGCAGTGCCCTAAATTGTTGTGTTCAGCAACATCCCGATTTGTTTGTTAGAGCAATACCCTAAATTGTTTGTGTCCACCAACGTCCCGATTTGTTTGTTAGAGCAATACCCTAAATTGTTTGTGTCCACCAACGTCCCGATTTGTTTGTTAGAGCAGTGCCCTAAATTGTTTGTGTCCAATAACGTCTAGATGTGTCTGTTAGAGCAGTAGCCTAATTGTTTGGGTTCAGGAATGTTCCGATTTGTTTGTTAGAGCAATACCCTAAACTGTTTGTGTTTAGCAACGTCCCGATTTGTTTGTTAGAGCAGTGCCCTAAATTGTTTGTGTTCAATAACGTCTAGATGTGTTTGTTAGAGCAATACCCTAAATTGTTTGTGTTCAGCAACGTCCCGGTTTGTCTATTAAAGCAGTAGCCTAATTGCTTGTGTTCAGCAACTTGCCGATTTGTTTGTTAGAGCAATGCCCTAAATTGTTGTGTTCAGCAACATCCCGATTTGTTCGTAAAGAGCAGTGCCTTAAATTGTTTGTGTTCAGCAACGTCCCGATTTGTTTGTAAAGAGCAGTGCCTTGAATTGTTTGTATTCATCATCGTCTCGACTTGTTTGTTAAAAGTACACTAAATTGTTTGTGTTCAGCATCGTTTCGATTTGTTTGTTAGAACAGTGTCCTAAATTATTTGTTTTCAATATCGTCCCGATTTATATGTTTGAGCAGTGTCTCAATTTGATTTTGTTCAGTGTGCCAGACTATGCTTTAAGCTGTTCTTGACTGCATTCATTGAAGAGTAACTCACAAGATATATATAATATCTCAGATTATATGTGCCAGACTAATCAATAATACATTACTGACTCAGTTCCTGAGCTAATCAATACTTGAAGTATATTTTCTGTTATTTTCTAATTAAGTTTCCACTATTAATTAAAAACACCATGTGTTCATTGACAAAAAACTTCTGTACTTGTGCATGTAAGTATTTATTTATTTTTAAAATATTTTTAAATATAAGGAAAATGTGGCGTGATTTTACTTTTGGCTATATATATATTATAATTCATTTGTACTATTACAGAAAAAATAGCTCTAGGTATGAGTTAAATGTTCCATAGAGTTACAGATTTATACATATGTAATATTTCTGTTTTCGCATCCCAGAATTCCCAGAGAATCTGAGAAACTTAATAATACAACAAGTATCTTATTTTTTTCCTGGTTAATCGTTCGCTACTCTTCTCTACTCTATTCTGAAATCATACGACGACTAAAGGAGATGGAAAAGCGGGATCGGCAGAAACAGCGTGTCGTTTATCAAACCGGCAATACAGGATTACCACTCTCAAACACACGTCCAGGCTGCAACAGAGTCGGATCGGCTTCATCAGACCACCGATAAGATCACCATAGAAGACTACCATCCTCGACTGCAAGGGATTTCCAGAGATTAATAAATACTAATTTACCACGAAATTAGAAACGTATTTCATTACACTGTCACCAGCTACTAAGTCATAAGTACAAGTGGAATGTGTCGCGTGTTTATTAACAAAATTACCCACCTATGTCGGTTTAGTACATGTGACCACGTTTTAGTTTCAAGTACAGAGTTACTTTGTATTTTTCTTTCTTTACGCTAAATAGAACAAATAACGTGGACATCATTTTTCTACTTTTATTTTCTCATAACAAACTAAGTACTACAAGAAGGGTGGAAAAATAGCAACAAAAACAGTAGGAAAACCTGATGAATGACCGGGGATGTCCTTACTTGTTGTTTTCATTATTATTATCCTGAGGCCTAACCAAATCAAGTGAACGATGAATGATTTTTTAATATTGATGTAAAGTCGTGCTATTTATATAAAAAAAGAATAATGTCAAAAATATATTTAGCTTTGTAGAGTGTGTCAATTCATAATCTCTTACACACACACATATATATATGTGTGTATATCTTGACTAGAAGACACTACAGACTTTTACTGACTTTCTCTTACATATATATATATCTTGATCAAAAGACACTACATACTTTTACTGACTTTCTCTTACATATATATATATATATATATTAACTAAAAGATACAACAGACTTTTACTGACCTTCTCTTACATATATATATATCTTGACTAAAAGACGCTACAGATTATTACTGACTTTCTCCTACATATATATATATATATATATCTTGACTTAAAGACAATACAGACTTCCACTAACTTTCTCTTACATATATATACGTATATTTTGACTAAAAGACACTACAGATTATTACTGACTTTCTCCTACATATATATATCTTGACTTGAAAACACTACAGACTTTCTCTTATATACGTATATTTTGACTAAAAGACACTACAGATTATTACTGACTTTCTCCTACATATATATATCTTGACTTGAAA